TATATATATATATATATATGTTTGGGTCAAATGTTTCAATTGTTTTTTTCCCTCAATATAACATGCAGTATACTTCAGCACATAATTTTTTCATGTGAGCAATATAACAAATATTACAAAAACCTCAGCGTCAACCACTTAATAATTATTACATTGATATTTCAAAGGGAATTGCTTTCTATTTAATTTCTATTTTCTAACTTTAAGCACAATGTCAATGGCTAACTCAGTCAATATCTTCAAGTTGGTCCGAAATAGCCAGACTAATGTTATGCTACATATCATACTATAGGATACATCGGCATATATGTGGATTTTCTTGGTTAGCACATCCACTTTTTGGTGGAAAGACTTCACACAGCTGGCAAACTGCTTGTTTGTAGGCTGCTACAGGTGTAGGCATTTTTACTGTGCGTCTCTGTGGGTGTGGGGAGTACCAATATGGCGGACGTTTGCTTTACTTTTTTTGTGGCAATCAGCAATCCAGTGAATAAATAGGGATCAGTGGCTGCACCTGAATACGGGTTTAGTTAAACAGGAGTTATTATTTCAGCCTATTCTGACCCACAGGTGTTAATAATACACTTAATAGCTGTTTGTTAGCCAACATTAGCAGAAGGTTCTGAGTCCTAATTATTAGATTCAGATCCTCTTTTATCCATCTATCCCAACATCAGAAGGTTTAAACCAAGGATCTATGAGGAGGAAATAAAACCTGCTTGATTCTCACACAGGTTTGTTCCCAATAACTAAAGGATTTTACTGCAGCATTAGTTTGTGACTTCTGATTCTGTCTCCTTGAACCCCAGTCGGCCTCAGCAGATGGCCGCTCACACTGAGCCTGGTTCTGCTGGAGGTTTCTTCCTGTTAAAAGGGAGTTTTTCCTCTCCACTGTCGCTACAAGCATGCTTAGTGTGAGGGATTGTATTTGAGTCAATGAGTCAATGCAATCAACTGGTTTTCCTTAGATAGAGGACTTTGAATCAATCTGACTGTATGATCTGGTGAACTGCAAAGTGACTTCAGATGATGTGTGTTGAATTGAATTGAGGCATATTTCAGAAAAATCAAAATATTTATTAAACTAATTTATTTTATACCCGACAGTAAAGTAAGTTATATTTTCCCCCCATCCGTTTATCTGTATCATTCAAAGATATCACCCAGAACTATAAAATCCAGTTTGTTGTTTTGCTTCTACACTGAATCTTATTCAAACTTTCTCAGATTTAGAAGTTTGATCAAAATGCAAAGATAAAACCACCAGATAAAATTAAATTAATCTATTTTCTAGACTAAGCATGATAACTTTATATATTCGGTAAAAACCCAGAGCCACAGACAGCAGCGGAACCTGCGGATCTCCATGTTTTTGTGTAGAGAATATGAGCATTAGTAGGTCAGTCAGCTGCCATGTTGGTGCAGGTATTTTTCATTCTCGTCTTTCAACAAAAACGTTTAGGCCGATTTTATTCAAGCCGAATTAACCGGCTTGGTCTGCTGTTTTCAAGGAGTTGAAGTTCCTGCTGCCGGAGCTTAGATTTTACGCCCGAACAGATGTAAAACAGATTTCTTAGGGAGTCTGGTTAAACGCTAGTCCACAGTGAAGAGAAGCGCTTCACCAGAAACTATTACTGTAATTTACCGATCAGCTGCTGACATCACAGCTTGAACGATAAACATTCATGCAGAGACTTTTGAAAGCAGACATTTAACTATCAATTACCTGCGAGCAGAGGAATGGGGGGCGCCATGATTACATGTGCAGGAAGAGGAACGGAGTTAGTCGGAAGTGCGTGAGGCAGAGGAGGCGGGGCGGGCAGTGCCACATCAGCATACCACGTCTAGATGTCTTAAAAAGAGTCCTCTAAAAAATACATTTTACCTTTTAAATTCAATATAAACTTTCAATATCTGTGTTAAGATGGTAAAAGCGTCTTTAATAAAAAAAATATATAGTTTTATTAACGATTAACGTCAGTTTAAACTTCAACCAAGATCAAAAATCTGGAATTTACTAACAACTAATATAACTTCCGTTTTCAAAATAAAAGCTAATGATTATGTACTGGTGAAGATTCTCAGTCATCAAAAGTAAAAAAAAAAAAAAAAGAGTTAAATTTTAAAAGAAGTTAAATTCCAGTGGATTATTTTTTTTTTCTGGAATCTGTGTTATGTGGGGTATAATATTTGAACAAAGTGACTCTATCTTACTAATAAAGAAAAAGTTAGTCAAAATTTCTTCATCAAGCTAAAAATAAAAGCAGATCCAGTACCTACACACAGGAAAACATCTATTAAATTAATGTCTTTGAACATCTAGAGCGGAGGTCTTCAACAGGGGGTCCACATGGGGGTCGCAAAAGTTTTGGTTGATTAGACTTTTTATTTTTTTTTTATTTTTTTTTTATTTTTTTATTCCCCCCTGAAATTTTTTCCACTAATTGAAATGTCTTTAAATCCACATTAACATGAATTCAACACACTGTAGTAAACAGATAAATGGA